GCTCACACGTCACTTCAAAATCACATACTAGGATATGAGAGAAGGGTTGCGATCGTGTTTTCTTGTGTAAAATATTGGTATGAATATTGAGCGGGCCAATGAAACTGGTTGTGTCTAATAGAGCCTCTCTGCTGAAGTTTTCAGGCTTTGCAAAAGTTCCTTTCGAGTCCGTATTGGTTGTAGACGAGTTCACCCGAGAAAACGTCTCCTCCGTCAAGAGTCCCGGCGAGGGGTTTATTGCTGCCTCAGACTCTACGGACAAAGTGTAGGAGAAAGGCGAGAATCTATTTAAGTTAGTATAGTGGTCAAACGGCGCTTCTGAGCAAACTTCTTCCGAGTCCATGCTGCTCATTTTATACTGCGTGTAAACTGTATGATTTATTATTGTAAATAGCTAATCAAAAGACAGAAACCCACAGACGAACAGTGTTGCTTTAGTATTTCAATAGTAATGTCACTTGATCAAAAATGGAGGTCATGACGCAATCAGACATACTTATTTGCTTTCAAAAACTAGACTTACTAAGAATTTAGAAAGGACGGTTTATCTAAAAAATTTCCATTTTTTTTCGTTGTTGCTTACATTTTCATTTCAGGATACTTTTCCATTTAGAAGAAAAACATAATGAACATGTACTGTAATGGGCACGCATGTCATTTAGGGTGTAGAGTCATATTTCACATACGTTCCCACACCTGAAAAAGTGATCATCCAACCGCAAAGTACAAGAATTGATGGAATTTGAATCGATAGATTCACACTATAAAAATAAATAGCACCATAAATTGAAAGTAATAATATACAATGATTTCTGATCAGGTGAGGACTATCCTTTCAGTGTGTTGACTTCATTTTCTTTTATCGATGTATTCGAATACATGTCTTCATCTATTTGTTGAAACATCACTCCTATAATGGCAACAAGAAATATTATCGCTATATAAGTATATAAAGCATATATTTTACATTTAAGAAGCATAGGAGACCGAGGGTTAAAAATATTGCAGAAATAATCCCTAAATAAAGGAATCTTTAATATTTAAGCAAAATTATCCACTATTGTTTTTCAGATTGTTCCTCTGATATTTTTCATTTATCTTACCCTCTTTAAGCACTCGATTTCATTAAACGCGAATTCAATTTAGAGGAAAATGCAGTGCTGTCGTTGATAGGATAGCATCTTTACGAAGACAATTTCTATTTTTCTTTTTGTCTCTTTCCTTTCGCCCTCATTTTTTTATGAAGATGATTTACCCTATTCTAACAACAACAAACCAGTCCAAACCTTTTGTGTGTTTATGAATCATTTGCCTGTAATTTGTATAAAGAATCGCCGCATTTCCTTTCTTCGTTGTCAACATTTTTTTCCTATGCCTTTGGTTAGGTTTGAAGATCTGTCTAATTTCCACATGCACATAAACAACACTAACTGCATAAATCACGGCTTCAAAAGAAAGCAAGTTCAGAGGAACCAGGACAGGGAAAAGTAGATACCAAATCACAATGAAGGGGTTAGGGGGTAAAGGTAGCTACCATGACGTTGTTATCCCTTTTTTAGAAGATGTGAGTTTGGTTTAGTGGTTCTTTCCGTCTTTGTGATCAACGAAGCATGGAATTTCCCCCTTGGGATGTGTAAAAGAATTATTGCTATTACTTCCAGGGGTCGTGGCGCCAATGGAGACTGCCGAGGGTGGGAGGAAAAGGCTACCTCCGGGGATATCTACCGCACCCCCATTGCGGGTGAAAGGTGTCCCGGGTGAAAGTCGGCTTAGCGGGACCTCGCAGAAGGTGCATCCTCGCTGGAGTAAACCAATCACGATATTCGCCAAATTTCTGGCATCGTCTAACCCATTGTGCAGTCGCCCTTTAAAGGACATCTGCAGGGCATCGAGCATCGCCTTGATCTTGCCTTGCTGCGAGTTGAAAAACGCCGCGAAGGATTTTTTGATGTCAATCCACTGGTAAAACATCGCGGGAAAATGAATTCCCTGCCGCGTGACGCTATGATGATACATAAATTCGCGAAAATCGGCCGGACCATCCGTCGCGAAGATCGCGCGCGCGTTGGGTGGGATTGTTTGGCGATGCCAACGCTCAAACTGGGCCACCACCACCTCCAGCGGGGCCGCCGCATCGATATCCTGCTGTTGAATCCCCGTTAAGGATCGGCAAAACTCACTTAACTGGGGTTTATGCCGTGGACGGACAAAACGGTGGAACTCGGCCATCACCCGATAGAGTTTGGTGTCCACCAGGACGACGGGAAACTCCACAATCTCGTGGAGATAGCCGGGGGGCATGTGCTCCTCACAGGTCGCCTCGAAGTCGAGAACAAGAAGGTAGTCGTACGGGCATTGCGGGAGCAGGGATGGCGAGTTAAAGGCCAGAACCGGGGAGATGGGGAGGCTGCGGGAGGCTCCATTCCGCCCCGGGGTGTAAAGCGTCCCGACCGAGCTCCCCGCCCCTGCGCCGCTGAGGTTGTGGGGTTCGGTGGGGTTGGGGAGGTCATTGGGGATGGGCTCGCCACTGGCTTTCGCGGGGGATGGGCCCATCACGGCGCCGGGGCTGAAGTAGGCGGCGCCTCCCCGATGAAGGGGGGAGGCGGCCGCGAAAAACGCGTGCGGGGCCGCGTTCCGCCGCCGTATCATGTCCTCGCGGGATTCTAAACAAAAGGTGATCGGGGGGGAAAAAATCGAGCTGGTCGACGGCGCCGCCGGCGATGGACCGCTCAGGCTGGTTTTGCTGTCCTGGCTTGTCGAGGAAAGGGGGTTGTGGGCTGCGCTGGTGGTTTTGGAGGTCTGTTTGGCCGATTTCCCCCCGCGCAGCCCCGCCGTTTTTACCGATTCCCTCTCCAAAGAGGAAGTGGGGAATACCGCGAATTTGAGATTACCGGGCTCGGAGTAGGACGTGGAAAGTGGCTTGGGGTCGACGCTGCTTTCGTTCGGCGTGGCCCCAGACGTCGTGCTGAGCTCCGACAGGAAAGAGGCGACATGCCGTGAAGGGGAATAATTCGGACTACCCTCCGAGATCAGGACGGAGGTGCGGGAATGGAAAGCGGGGGCGTTGTGGTTCAGCAGGTTATGCGTTTCTATTAAACCGATATGATCCTCCTCCACGGCATCATCGTGGAGGTTGTTGGGGGTGGGTATCGCATTGAAATCGCTTTCCCCATCGTCAGGCGGGTCGGGCTGCGCCGTGGCGGTGTGAGAGGCACGCGGGACTACTGCCGTTATTGGGTAAATGTCTTCCAAGGCGGGGGTTTTACTTTTTTGACCTTTTTCACACGTTGTGGGTTCGTCCGAATTAATTGTACAAGGGGGTTCGAGGCGCCAGTCGGCGCCAAACGTCGAATCCAGCGTTTTCACAATTTCCTCATCATTCGCTATGAGCCGCCGGACGGTGGCGAAGTGACTTCGCACCATATCCCAGCGCTCCTCATACATATCCGTCGCCGTGGAGGAAGCACCCATCACGGGGCCCGGTGGGGTCAATAAACCACCCGAACAACCCTGCCCACTTCTTTTATTTTCTTCGATTTGACCGCTTGGGCTGCGGGTGGGCTTTTCAACCTTTTCAAGGCCGCCGTCGCCTCGTGCGATCTCACGCAAGGCGTCTAATAATGGAGGAATGCTATCGAGGTCTTCCGGGATCAGCTCGGGGCCTTCGTAGTGCAATGGACCTTTCCCCAGCCGAGCGAGCTGACCTTCTCGCCCCCGCGTCGACGTTGTCGTATTTAAAATAAAATCGGCATGATTGATTCCACTTCTCGTATTCCCGCGGCGCGGGTTAGCCCCACGTTTCCCGGCGCGGGTCGAGGAAGAAATCGGCGCGGAATCCACAGCGAGGTTGAGCGATTGGAGGCCGTCCGGCCCCCTGGTCCGACCC